GCTGTGGTGGGTGGGTGGCTGTGGTAGATGCTGTATTTGTCATTGTCCGTGTGCTTTAAGCAGCATTTACCATTCAAACATTCATTGGCCAATGATTGTGAAGCGCTTGCTGTGTCCCAGGAAGTGACCAGGGTGCTAGAAGTCCAAATCAGCACACCTAGCTTTCCTAACAGTGTTCTCTTGAAATGTAGAAGTCAGGATGGCTAGGGATATTTGTGGAATCCTTTCTAGCCCCCTGATTATCACACAGTTTTAAAGTTGAATATTAAATCAAGGCCCTCCAGCATTCTGGGTTTAAAGTGTGGACCCTGAGATGCCCTAACTGGTTGCTCATAGGCTTTTTTTCCTTGCGTCTTTTCTTTTCCTGAAGATATCAACGAGTGCAAGATGATACCCAGCCTCTGCACGCACGGCAAGTGCAGAAACACCATCGGCAGCTTCAAGTGCAGGTGCGACAGCGGCTTTGCTCTGGATTCTGAGGAGAGGAACTGCACAGGTCAGTGTGGGGGTCTCCCGCGGCGGCATGCGGGGAGTCTCTTCAAACTGCCCCTCTTTCCCATGTCGCTTCACGTTGTCAGGCTGTCCCCACCCTCATTATCACTGCCTGCCGTTTTTCACGCAGACATCGATGAGTGCCGCATCTCTCCTGACCTCTGTGGCCGAGGCCAGTGTGTGAACACCCCAGGGGACTTTGAATGCAAGTGTGACGAAGGCTACGAAAGCGGGTTCATGATGATGAAGAACTGCATGGGTAAGTGTGTGCTGCTTCAATCAGCACAGGACGCCAAGGACTTCGGGAAGCCTGGAGTCCTCGGAGGAATCGCAGTGTCCCAGGCAGTCCTTGCTACTCAGCCTTCTGACCAGGGAAGGCCGTCTGTGGCAGAGGGAGGCTCATAGGAAGACACCAGGGGGCTGAAGAGTCGTGGATGACTCCCATGGCAAGCTGTGAGACCTTGAGTGACTTCAACACCTGACGGAATGAACTGAGAACAATTCAGACATAAGCTATAGTAGGACTCCCATCTCGGGGGTGTCTGCCCGACAGTTCTAGAAGGTGGTGTTAACTAAGCTGCCTTAGGTCAGGTCCCCAGTGAGCAGAGTCGGAGATGAGATTCCTGCACACGAGTGTGGTGGACTTGGGTATTGGTTTGGATTTTGGTTTGTTGGTGTTTTGGTTTGTTATGGGGTTTGAAGGACTGTTCTGAGGGAGGAACCCCTCAGAATGGCAGAGAAGCAGGATTGTACAGAGTCTGGCTGCATTGCGGCACACTCAGATCCTACAGGGCACTCCGGAGGTAGGAATGGCACCAGGATTGACACAAGGTCAAGGATTTTTATTTCCAAGCCAGTCAATCAATGACTGGCTGTGGATTGCTTCTAATGTGGGAAAACGTCGTGACCTCTCACTTCACAGGCATTTCTGAGTGACGTGGACAGCAGTTCTCCCAGAAGGGAACTCATAAGTCAGCAGTAGTCAGGACTCGCAGCAGCTGAGGGTTGGAAAAG